CCCCCCAATGGGCTAGTGTGAAGCACAGAAGGACAGACAACGGTTTTCAAGGACAACCCTGACGACAAGCCAGAAACACTCCCCTCTGCTCCTGATAGGGAGTTGAAAGGAAAGCAACCCATCTAGAGAGATTAAAAAGGTACTTGGAAAAAGAAAATGTCAGAAGAAATGTTGTATTGATCTTCAATCATCTAAATCTGTGTCCACATTAAATTTCCTCTTTGGAGTTGGAGGCTAGATGAAGCTAACAAGTGTTAAGTTATTTTTAAAATATTTTACAAATTTACTACTTGTTTTCCAACTCTAAAAAAATATGTAATACAATTTCATAACATTGGGCTTTTTCCTATAAGCCAGTGTCAACAAGTCTATTATTAGAAATAAAATAGTCATCATGATAGAATGCGTTTCATCTTTTTTGCCCCCCATAGATACAAGAAAACACAGTGCTACCATGAGGTGCTTAAATTTTAGTATTTTGTCAATTCCAATAAAACCCTGCACTAATCCCAACTAGTAATTTCTAGAATCTCTGTCACTGAGACATAAAAGTGCTCTTAAAAATATATGGGATGGACCTGTCGCAGAAATAAATAAATCCCCCTCTCTCCTTTTGCTTTATTAGGCTGTAGCCAGGGAAAGTGGGGCTGAGAACTGCAGAGGTCACGCCAAACTCCAGATCCTACATAGACGCGTTAGTGCCTGCAGCACTGTCTCCAATGACTGCCGTCCCCCCACCCCTAACTGTACGCACAGGCACAGCTGAGCCTAATTCTTCACTTCCTCCCTGCTTCCCTATTGGAAGAACTGACTTTCTCCTGTTCCCTTTACTCTTACAAGTTTAAGATGGGGATTTACAACCCAACCCTGACTCCCGTGGCAAGATGATGCTTCTAATTACAGGGCCTGGCTGCATTACGAAGACAGAACAGGGGCATTGGGAATATGCCTCAGCGTTACACACTCACCTGTGCAACTGCCTTCCTGGTTAAAGTGCCCATCTGGGCACTGGGAGAGGCACTGCCCCTCCACCAGCACATGCGGAGGCCAGCAGGCGGTGCAGTTGTGCGGGCTCCTCCCTGCGCACGCGAAACAGGAGTGGTGGCAGGCTGGGAAGACAGAGCAGAGAGACGATCAGGAGTCACCACAGGACAAGTGCGGGAGCTCTGACTCTCCCGTTAGCATTCCTGAGCTGAAACACATTCTGCACACTCATTTCATTTTCCCAAGGACACATCTCACACACTTCTTTATAAAGGCCCTGTCCCACAAAGCAAGCATCTGTGGCACTCAGATTAGATACGACACAAATGCCACAAAACAGAAATAACCATTTGCAGAGTCACCCATTTCTTTCTTCCCAAGTTCCCATTCTCAGAGAATGTCAAATGGAGAGCAAGAAGCTGTGAAAACGGGTCTTCCTCCCCCAGGACAGCTCCTCCACCATCGCTAGGCAATGGGCTGCTTATGAGGCTGCTCAAATTAAAGAGAAAGGTGATGGGAGTTTTACTCGTGGATCCTACAGAAGTTTATATGGTGCCTGCTCTCTGCTGGAGACTGGACACACCCAGGTGAGAAGAACTGGCCAACATTTTGCGCTGCTTAAGCCAGCTGCCTCAACAGACTCACAAGCAAGTAAGCAACTAGACTAAAATGAATGGGAGATGGAGTATAGCACAGACAATAAGAGCATCTAATAGCCACTCTATGAGACCTTGACTAAGTCATGTAATTTCTCAAGGCTCCTACGTCTTCATGTATAAAATGAGAATATAAACTATGCATACTGCATGAGATGTTGTGGACACTAACTGGGTTGACGCATGTAAAGTTCTTAATAGTGCTAAACACATAGTAAGGGTTTAGTAAATCTTAGCTATAATTATTACCATTAAATGCCATGTTACAAGTACTCATAGGTGTAAAAAGAAACGTGGAAAGCAAAGAGAAAGAAAACATCTCTGCTTGCCTACATCAGACCTTTAAGGATAAAAGGAATATTTGCATCATTTCCCAAGTGCGGCCATTGTATTCATGACGCTTTTTTATTTTCTGTATTTCGGACGCTCTGACATTAGGGGCCCTGGTGATCCTGGAGGCTCCCCCTCTCAGGGTTAGCCAGTTTCTAGAGACGGTAAGTGACTAGCCTGTGAGCATGCCTTTCATTTGCCTACTAATCAGTCCAAAGTCCTTATACCCATCAACTCCTTTGCTGGATCTCACACTCAGGACCACTATCCTCCTGCTCTAGTCACTCCAATGCCAGGTACCAGACAACTAGGAACAGCCCCTACACCCTGGAGCCCACTGGCCTTACTCAGACTAGCCAGTCCTAAGCCTGTTGCCCTGCCTTACTTCTTCTTTCCCAGGAAACTAAAATAAAGGCCCTTGTCTACATTTCCCCCTTACTCCCTCTGCCTCCTGACTGGCCCTGGTGCTTCCTTGCATGGCTCCTCCATAGAATGATGTCACAGTTCCTCTGGGGAACTGTGACTAACAAACTATATTTCCAATAGCAGCTGTCCACTAATCTGTTAGCCATACTATACCTGAATGATAATAAAACTTACATCTTGAAACAGCCTGATATTCAGCTCCAATCATTCATTCATTCATCATTATCTGTCAAAGAAGTCTAGGTGCTGGGGATACAAAAGTAATACAAGCCCTGGTTCTTACCCATGGAGATGACCCTGTTCATTCCAGGGCATGTTCTGTTCAATGGACGAGATCCACTGACTCAGGGACACCACTCCGAGTCCCCTCTTTGCCTCCTCTGCCACCTCTAACAAACACCCAGGAGTCTTAGAGACCAACAGCTTGGAAGATCTAAGCATGATTTTACACCACTGTGGTCTTCATTTCTATCAACTCCCAATAAAAATGTCACCTACATCCTTGGATATACAGGGGACTGAAATAAAGCAGGCTGTCCTGGTCCAGCGGTGCTGGCTGTTACAGTATTAAACTATGGTTATATGGCTGGTATATGGCTGCTCTCCTAAGCCTTCCAGTGCTCCCCTGCAGCCGTGGTCCCACCCTGGGACCCTGACTCATCTATAACCCAGCCCTAAAGGGTTAACACCTGTACCAGGAGCCCTCAGGCCCTTGGTCCTGACCCATTCCCACCGGGCAGTGCCCTTACCTTCCTGCTTGATAAATACTTTTGTTATCCCTGAATATGCTGTAGAGTTTTATATCTATTCAGCAGTATTTGTTATTCTATGAAAAACCGGGCTAGAAGCACAATTTTAAAATATTTTTTTTTCTAGATGGCTTTGTTAATAGTTCTATTAGCACAAGTCACAGTTAGAAATTTTCTTCCCAAGTATTTTCAGAATCACTATAAAGCTATTTCATCTTTAAAAAACAAACAGATAAACTGACATTTAAGCAAATATTATAAAAGAAGGGTACACATTGGCCTGTTATTTAAGACACGTTTAACACAAAATGAAACGGGATGCAGTAGAAAGTCAGGTGGCAATATTTCAGTAACAACTAAATTATATTGTCAACACCAAGCTTTCCAGGACGAAGCAATTAGAAGCAATACAATATTTTCTATTTAAATGTACCTTCGATAATGCCAACATGTTTGTATTAGACTTTACAAGATTGCTAAAATCCCTAGTTCTTCCTGTTATCCCCCCGTAATAAATAGGAAATCAAAGCACCTCATTGTAGAACTGAAAACTAGGGAAATAGGAATCAATGCATTATGAGCACACAGCATAATTTATTTCATTCCGTTTGGTCACAAAGTCAATGTGATAACCGGACTCGATGTGAGTAAAAATATTACTGAACTATATAAGGAAAGCAAAGGAGACAGGGGAGTTGAAAGGCTGATGGACCAAGAATTCCAGGAAAGCGTCCCTTTGCCACCCACTAGATTTTAGAAATGCGCCCCAATGAACATGGCCATGGCCGACTTCAGAATTGGAAACAGTCAAGAACCAAGTAGATGAGCTAGTTAAGCTGCCACGTGGCACAGAGGGGAAGGGTGGCCATCCCCTCGAAGTGCCTTTTCCTCTGTCACCCTCTCGTTCTGTAAGTACAGGCGCTGCCTTCTGCATCTTTAAACACACTCTTATAAAACTTGGATTCTATGCTGTTTCTGGAAATGTCTATACCATCTCAATGACTTTTATGAGGCTTGATCATTCCATGGAAGCTGATTTCATAGCCAGAGTTCTGGTTTGAAGTCTAAGGTCCTTCAAGGAAGAGTAACTTCATTACAACGTATATATGGAAGACATCTGAGAGAAGTTCTATGAATTATTTCTCCACATAGTACTACAATTTTAGAGAGTGGCTTTCCAGTTGATGGCTAAGTATATTTCCCAAGAAGCAGAACTGAGCTGCTTAAGCTCTAACAGTGTCCTTAGATGGTTGTAAAGTCCAGTGGACCTGATTCCAGTACAAAAAAATTTACCTGAAACAATTAAAACATTATCAATTTTTGTTCATTCTGTTTTCTATTTAAGTTTCAGATGGCAAACACTACTACTTATTTTTTTCCCCTTTTAATGATATAAAGAGTAGTCCAGCATCCCTAGTTTTTCATCATATAAAATTTCCTGGCTTTTCATGTCCAAACAGCTCTTGAGGTAGGTCTCTCCCCAGTTACGACGTAAATATGAAAACCCTCCAGGATATACAGTAGGAGTACTGTCATGAGAAATGAAAATGGAAATGAGTGAAGCCAAATAAAATCGATCTCCCTCTTTCCCAACCCTCCTATTCCATATTCTCTTTCTTTTTTCTCTTTTTAATGAACATGATTTAACCTAAATATATCGGGAGTGCTTTAGGAGTAAAAATCACCTCTCTCCCATGGAAATGTTGGCAGCAAACTCTTCTCATTCTCCTCTTTGATCATTTCTTTTTAGCCTTTCTCTATTTACAGCATGAATATTCCCCAAATTGCACCCTCTGCCCTTTTACTTCTCACTCCAGGGTAAACTTACCCACAGCTTTAATGCTGACCTACATACTAGAGAGTCCAAAATTTATGAGAACAGCTCTAAATTTTACCCCAAACTCCAATCACATAAATCTAACTGCCGAAGGGATATTTTTACATGGCATTTTCATCAGTACCTCACTCCAAATCTCTAAAACACTTCTCATTACCACTTCCAAGCTCAGTCCGTGTCTACTTAGTGTAAATTATGACATCACATGCCTTCTGTCCCAAACTGTACTTAAGCCACCCCAACCCCACCTCCTCTCCCCTACCTGACCTTTCTTTTATATGCCCCGTCTCGCTTGGTAGCCCCACTACTCACCAAGATACTCATGCTGAAAACTTTAGTCTTCTACTTTTCTATCAGCACAACACATCCAAGATAGATTGATTTTTACTTCTTAAATCTCTGTCACATCTGTCCCTACTTCACCATCCCCCTGGCCCCTTTCTTGTGATCTGGATTAATGCAAAATCTTCCTAACCAGCCCCACTCTGTTTCTCCCCAATTACCTGCCATACAACCATCAGATAGATCTTTACAAAACGCCAATTGACTAAATTATTCCCCTACTTAAGATCTTTTAATGGTTCTCCAGTGCCAATAGTGTCAACTCTAAGCCCCTTAGCCCAGCACATAAAGCACTTCATGACATGACTCACCCCATGTCTCCAGTGTCAGCCCCCACAATTCATCGCTATGGCCTTGTGCTGCAGGAATACCAAATACGCTCCACTCCCCAAACGCGCCTTTCCTTGGCCTAGAACGCCCCGTCCCTCCTTTTCCCTGGTCAACTCCCATCAATCCTTCGACAGCCTGATGCTACACTGTCACCCAGTCAGTCTCTCTTTCTGGACCTTGCGCCTGCTGCCACTCCAGCATGTGCCCCGTTCTTTTCATTCCTTGTTCAGATGTCAATCTCCCCGACTTGACCACGCCTTCTTGAAGCACGGTCTGTATCCCTCTCATCTTCCATCCCTAAAGCAGAGCACATCCC